TGGTTGGGTTCAATGGAACGCCGACATGGCCACTGGGAACAGTAAGCTTGGAGGTGCAGGCTGGCACCAAGAAGATCAAGACAGAATTCACCATCATCGACACACCCTCCCCTTACAACATCATCTTGGGAAAGCCATGGTTGTATGCAATGGGGGCAGTTCCTTCAACATTGCATCAACTATTGCAATTCCTAATAGAGCATGGGATAGAGGAAGTCAGAGGCGATCAGCTGCAGGCGAAGAATTGCTCCATGGCAGCAATGAAATCTACCTGCAGCATATGAGAGCCAGAAAAGACAGAAATTGAAGATGAGGACGTGGAAGTCCTAGAAGACGTCGGCAAGGAGCCAACTGAGAAGAGTGAAGAGGCACTGAAGAAAATCCTCGTCCAGGATGGGGATGAAGAACGCTTCTTCTTCTCGGCTCGGACTTAGCCGAAGAAGAGGAAAAAGAATTGGAAGCTTTTTTGAGAACAAATATTGAGGTGTTCGCTTGGACACCTTACGAAATGCCTGGCATTGACCCCGAGGTCACTTGCCACAAACTGAATGTTGACAGGTCAGCCAAACCTATAATTCAACGAGCCAGAAGATCGACGTTGATGCACGTCGAAACAGTAAAGGAAGAAGTAGACAGACTTCTGGAGGCCAGGGCCATTAGAGAAGTACACTACTCGACATGGTTATCCAATACAGTGGTGGTAAAGAAGAAGAACGGTAAATGGAGGGTCAGCGTAGACTTCACCAGCCTCAACAAAGCCTGTCCCAAAGACAGCTTTCCTCTACCCAAGATTGACCAACTAGTAGATGCCACTTCAGGGCATGGAAGAATGAGCTTTCTAGACGCCTACAGGAGGTACCACCAAATAGCCATGTACCACCCAGATGAAGAGAAGACCGCGTTCATCACCCTAAAAGGCCTGTACTATTACAGAGTAATGCCTTTCGGGTTAAAAAACGCAGGAGCAACTTACCAAAGGCTGGTAACCAAAATGTTCAAACACCTGATTGGCCGAACAGTAGAAGTCTATATCGACAACATGGTCGTTAAGACCAAGGATCTTGAGGGTCATCTCGCCGATCTAAAAGCAGTCTTTGAAATCCTTAGAACATATCGGCTCCGACTCAATACATCGAAGTGTGCATTTGGAGTTGGATCTGGTAAGGTTTTAGGATACGTGGTGACTAAAAGGGGCATTGAGGCCAGCCCAGATCAAATCAAGGCCATCCTAGAGTTGAAGAGCTCGACGTCGGCAAAACAGGTGTAGATGCTAACTGGAAAGGCCGCAGCCCTGAACAGATTTATCAGCAGGAGCTCAGATAAGTGTAGACCTTTCTTCAACTTGGTGAAGAAAGCCACAGACTTCCTATGGGCAGAAAAATACGAAGCCGCTTTGGCTGACCTGAAGAAGTACTTGACCACAGCTCCAGTTCTTTCAAATCTAGAACCTGGGGAGGAGCTGTTCCTATACTTAGCCGTTTCGGAACATGCGATAAGTGTAGTACTAATCTGAGAAGAAAAATAGGAGCAAAGGGCTGTTTACTATATAAGCAAAACCCTAGCCGATGTAGAAACGAGGTATCTACCCTTAGAGAAATTGGCACTAGCTTTAGTAATGGCTTCAAAGAAGTTGAACCATTACTTCCAGGCCCATAAAATTATGATGCTAACAGAGCACCCCTTGAAGTCCTTACTGCAACAAGGAGATCTGATAGGAAGAATAGCTAGGTGGGCAGTCACCCTAGGCCAGTATGACTTGGAGTACAGGCCAAGGACAGCAATTAAAGGCCAGGTTCTGACCGACTTCGTGGCTAAGTTCACACCAGAATCCATCGAACATCGGGCTCCATTGAGCCAGGATGAACGATGTCCAGACAAGCAAGGAGAAGCCCAAGCAAAGACAAAAGAACAAAAGAAAGAAGAAAAACTTAGACCTTGCAGCATTTACATCGGCGACTCCTTTCGACTGTTCGTTGATGGGAGTTCAAACCGACAGGGAGCAAGAGCAGGAATAGTATTGATATCCCCAGATGGGCAAGTACTAGGACAGTCAATTCGTTTGGGGTTCAAGGCCTCAAACAATGAAGCAGAATATAAAGCACTCATTGCAGGACTGAAGTTGGCAGTAGCAGTGCAAGCAGATGAGGTAATAGTTTTTTGTGATTCACAACTGATAGTTAACCAGACAACAGGCGAGTTTGCAGCCCGAGATGAATGAATGTCGGCCTACGCAAAGGAAGTCATCAGACTGTCAACCTTGTTTCAGAACTGCCGACTACTTCAAGTAAGCCGAGATGATAACAGCCACGCCGATGCGTTGGCCAACCTAGCTAGTGCAATACAACTTGGAAAAGCAAGGACAATAATGATTGACTATCTGTCGGGCCCGAACATTGAACCAGTAACCACAGAGCATGAAACAATGTGCATAGACATGGGACCAAATTGGATGGACGCAATTGTTGCGTTCCTAAAAAAAGGAAAGCTGCCAGATGACCGCAAGGAGGCACACAAGATCAAATTGAAGTCGACAAGATTCAGTCTAACAGCAAAGGGACACCTCTACAGAAGATCCTTCACTGGACCCCTTTTAAGGTATGTACACCCTTTGTAGGTTGAAGATTTTTTATATGAAATCCATGAAGGAATTTGTGGAAGCCACGCTGGGGACAGATTACTAGCTCACAGGGCCATTACCTAGGGGTATTGGTGGCCTTACATACAAAAAGATGCAGAAGCCTACGTGAAGAAGTGTGAACAATGCCAAAAGTTTGCACCTTTGATACAACAGCCAGCTGCTGACTTGAACCCTGTATCCAGTCCTTGGCCATTTGCCCAATGGGGCATGGATCTCATTGGGCAATTACCCCAAGCAACTGGACAAAGGAAGTACTTACTGGTAGCAATGGACTACTTCACTAAATGGATAGAAGTTGAACCTCTTGCCAAGATCCGAGATGTGGACGTGAAGAACTTCATTTGGAAAAACATTATCACTAGGTTTGGGATTCCAAGAGCAATTGTTGCAGACAATGGAACTCAATTTGACAGTAAACTAATCAAGAACTTATGTGCAAAGTTCAAAATCAAGAACTACTTTTCAACCCCAAGCTTTCCACAAAGCAATGGACAAGCAGAAGCATCCAACAAAGTAATTCATGATGGAATAAAGAAGAGGCTACAGGCAGCAAAAGACAAGTGGATAGACGAACTACCCAATGTACTCTAGGCATATCGGACTACGCCGAGAAGATCAATAAGGGAATCCCCCTTTGCCATGGCTTATGGCACAGAAGCAGTCATTCCACTGGAGGTCGGCATCCCTGGGATCAGAACCCAGGTGGTAGAGAACGGGACTAATGATGTACTCTTAGCCCGAGATCTAGATCTTCTAGAAGAACGAAGGGACAAAGCTGCAATTCAGCTCGTAGCATACCAGCAATAGCTTGCCAGAGCTTATAACAAGAAGGTTAACCCAAGGGAATTTCAAATTGGTGACCTCGTCCTAAGAAAAGTCGTCGGCAACAAGAAGGATCCCAGAGAGGGCAAGCTTGGCCCAAATTGGAAAGGACCCTACAAAATCATCTCGGTACTGAGTAATGGGGCACATCGTCTTGAAGATAATGAAGGCAAAGAATTGCCCAGACCTTGGAACACTTGTAATTTGAAATTTTTCTATCATTAGAATTTCTTTGTTCCTTTGCCATTTGCCGAAGTAAATAAATAAAGATTCAGCTGGTTCTTTTTTCAAAATACTTGACATTATCTCTAGAATACATGCATAATGAGAACCCAAGTGGAACTCAGGTTCACATTAAGGGGCAAAGAGAATAAGAGAGAAGAAGAATATGTTTAACACTTGTTAAAATTTGTGGACAATTTACAAGTTGAAGTTAAACCGAAATCATGTTTAACACTTGTTGAAATTTGTGGACAATTTACAAGTTGAAGTTAAATCGAAATCATTGTTTAACACTTGTTGAAATTTGTGGACAATTTACAAGTTGAAGTTAAACCGAGATCATTGTTTAAACACTTGTTGAAATTTGTGGACAATTTACAAGCTGAAGTTAAACCCAGATTATTGTTTAAACACTTGTTGAAATTTGTAGCAATTTACAAATTGAGTTAAACCGATATGATGTTCAACACTTGTTAAAAGTTTACAAGTTTGTCTATCCGAGGTGTGTCACCCCGAGAAGATTGTACAAAGAAGGAAGAGTATGTGAAAGACATACAAAATATTCTAAGTATAGAATCATACAGAAGCAGTAAAGAGAAGACAAAGATACAAGCACTCAGAGAAGAAAAGTTATATTAATATTCAGAAAAGGCACGTCAGCCAAAAGCTTACAATTTTTCCCACAAAAGAAAAGCAAACGTACAAAAGACAGAAGAAAAAGACATGAAAATTAAGATTCCTCAGCATCGGCAGTAAGCTGGGTTGGGACCTCGGAAGACTGTTGGGAAGCCACCTCGGCCGCCTTCTTCGCCACAAGCTCAGCATCAATCTCTTGCAAGGTTTCATCAATACTCTTGTCGGCGAGGGGGACATCGGATAAAGCTTTCTCAGAAGCAACTTTTTTGCGAACCTCCTCATCCTCCTCATCTTGAGTCAAGTCTAGGACTTGCTCATTTTGAGGAGAAGACTTGGCCCCAGTTGCTTCCTTGGGTCTTCTCACCAGGGTCTCGTCTTCAGATTCAAATTCGTCATCGGATTGAGCTAGTGGAGGAGTTGGAGGGAACGAAAGAGGAATGGTGTCGGCTTTCTGATGTGGCGAGTCCTCGGGGGCCTCAAGCTTCTTTAGAAGAGACATCCAACCAAGGGTGAAACCCTTGTTGCATGCCTGCTTCACTTGAATTTCATAAGCCTCTGTAACGTCGGCTATACCTTGAGCATATGCCTTCTCATCGGCGTCCTTAATTTCAGCCTCTTTGGTGGCCAAGGCTTCTTGAAGCTCTTTTTCGGCTTGGGCCATCTTCTCATCGGCCTCTTTTCTTTAGGACTCAGAAAACTTTCTGATGGCTTCGGCAGATTCAGCCTTCTCTTCGGCGTCAGTTTGGGCTTTGATTGTAACCTCAGCTTGGTCCTCCAACTTTTTCATCTTTGATTGTAAACTCTTGTTGGCTTTTTGAAGAGTAGAGAACTCCCTCCTCATCTCGGCCAACTTCTCCCGATTTTCAAAAGATTGAATAGAGAAAGAATGGGCATGCTGGTGTAGACACCCGATTTTTGACCGACCTTAAGACTCGGACGTCACCGATTGAGCGGTTGGTGATGTTGCATATCGTGCTCGTTCAGAAGTTTCAGAGTCTCGGCTGCGAGCCTTGCCTCCGGACTTTCGGACTTTTCTATGCTTTGCCTCGGTTTGCGAACCAGGCTCTGTTTTCTCTGTTTTCTCTTCTCAAAGGGAGGGAGAGGTCTCGTAGACCATCTCTCAGTGGCCGTAGGCTACGTTTCGTGGACGTAGGCCATTTTGCCCGTTTGGAGTCTGGTTTTCGATTTTCTGGAGCCGTTGGCCGTGTGCCTCGGTTCGGGACTGCATAACCACCTCCGTTTGCTCCGGTTTTTGGCATGCATCTTATTTTCTCCCTTTTGAGGGACACTGTGGCTCGAGAGACCAACTTCGTGGTCGAACACCACTTCCGATGCCTAACAGCCAGTTTTCAAGGCCTCAACCTGCGCGTTTCGGCCCCCGAACCTTCATTTTGCATCGGTTTGGGTTCATTCTTGGCAGGGACCTCTGTTTCATTATTAGAAAGGTCGTAGAAAGGTGGGAGGCCAGTAATTTTTCTGACAACCAGTTTTATTCCTCCATCGCCCTCCGTCGCCCGTTTTTTCTCGCTTGCAAGCCAATGTTGACCACCCTAAGGCCACTTTTTCTTGCTCCAAACCACATATTTGTGTTGTACACACCTGGGAGGCCACCAATATCACATGGCCGGCCATTAATTCTGGTTGACCCTTTTGAACCCCTCCTAAAAGTGGCCTTTCCTCTCTCCTGGTTCACTTTCTCCAGTTTTTGACTACATGGTTGTGTTGTGCACACATGAGAGGCTCCTTTTTTGGTATGGCCGGCCACTAATCCTCATTGAAATTTTTGACCCTTGGCCTGCCGGCCATGGGAAGAGCCGGCCGGCCACCTGCAACCTCAATAACCAGCCGGCCTTGCTCCTTGCTGCAGATACAGTTCAAATATGCATCTCTTTTCCCCCTAGATTTTGTATCCAGGGGGCCAACTTTTTGGGGGGAAACTTGAATTATTTCCCCCCCCCCATTTTTCCCTCATTTTCTCCCCCTATTTTGCCTATAAAACCAACCTCCCAGCTTTTTTTAGGGGTTAGAAAATTCACCTTTGAGCTCCCATATTGTATCTCTCTCCCTCTACACTTCCATGCTTCAAACCTCTCAAGTCCTACACTCATTTCTACACCACCACCTAACACCACACCACCACTCCATTCCAGCAGCTTGGAGGGCCTTCTCAGAGCTTTGGAGGCACCTTTTCTCAAGCCAAAAGGCTGCTAAAGTTTGGTCTTCAAGGGTGAGCAACATTTCTTCTCTTTTAAGCTTATTTTTGTATCCTTTCTAAGACATACATGCTTTCATATTTGGGCTCCAACCCTAACTGAAAATAGTCTTATTTTGATGTATTTTTCAAGTTTGTTTTAGGGTCCTTCCATGTTTAAGGTCCCTAGCTACCACTTGCTTCATTACCCCTCTTGTGTGCCTATTTCTTGTGTAGTATTTTTGACCTACGTGTAAACTGTTTTGAGCCCTATCATAAACTGTAAAGTGGCTTATTTGAAGCCCTTCTTCAACATTGTTGAAGGGCTTATCACTGTTTGAGGCTTCCATTTGCCACTCACCTTTATATCCCTATTTTGGCCTGATTTTTGCATGATTTGTTAGCCCCTTGTGATTATTTTTTTATGCTTTGGTCCGAACTTTAAATGGCCTTATTTTGACCCCCTCTTCATGTTTTATCAAGGGACTTTTTCTATTTGAGGCTTCCCTTTTACACTTTGTGTTTAAGCCTCTTTTTAGGCCTTATTTTGCATAGTATTTTAGGCTTGCATGTGCACTGTTTTGGGCTCGGTTGTAAACTGTAAAATGCTATGTTTTGGGTCCCTCTTCAACATTGTTGAAGGGCCCTTTCTTTTTTGATGCCAGAAGCCATGACTTGCTTCTTTATCTCACATTTAGGGCCATTTTTTCATGCTAGCTTAGCCACATTTCTGTTCATTGTTTGGCCCTGCTTAAAACTGTAAACATGCTTGTTTTGGGACTGCCTTGAATCTGTCTTCACACTTCATGTTCAAATGATGCATGTTTTGTATAGCTAGAGGCCAATGCATATGCCTAGTTTTGTGTTTCGGGTTCATTTCATGCATCGGGTGCCATGTTTCCATGATTCGGGGCTGTTTTGGGTCATATTTTAGCGCTGAAATTTGCATGCTAGTATGCCATATTCCATGCCTTGTCATGTCTTGTTAGAGTGGCATTTTGTGCCTTAGGATCGGTCCTCGGTTTGCGTGCATGTGTGCACGCATTTCGAGTGTCTCATTTTCATCTCGTGGCCTCTTGTGTGAGTGTGGCTGAGGTCCACTCATGTTGGTATAAGTTCATTATGCATTGTGTATGCCATTTCATTTCATAGCATTGCGTATGCTAGGTTGTATGTTAGCGCATTGTGTATGCCATGTTATCTCGTGCATCGTGTATGCCATTTCATAGCATTGTGTATGTTAGGTTGTATCTTAGTTGCATTTCATGCATATCATGCATATTGTATCGTGCTTGGGATAGGAGTTAGCCTGAGCACGGGAAACGATGGACGTTTTGTACTTCGAGTGACGGAACGTATCTCAATTCCCAGTCACCGACACTCCGGATTGTCCATGATGGAGTTTAGGTTTCGTTGTGTTTATGTGTGCATTCATTCCATATTGAGTCATGCAAATCGACTCCTCGGCCATCATGCATCGATATGCGTGATTGGTGGCACGAGGATCGAGGACTACACTCCCTGAAGAGTAGTCACGCATACATGTTTGAAAATACATTGCCATGCCCCTTTCTTGCTCTCTGTTGTCGCAAATCAAGAATCAGCAGTCTTCTAGGGCTTGGCGCGCTTTTCAAAAAATATTGCAAAACAGAGGCTAATTGGGGCATCACAGTGGATTTCCGTGCAAAGGCAACCCGGACAAGCATCATCCATCATCTGAAGAAGAGTCAAGGCAGTCCCTGGCTTGCATGCCAGTTTATTATTTTCTTAGTTAATTTGGTAATTAATTAGGATTTTTGTAATTATTTGGACTGTAATTATATGGGACTGTATATTATTTATTTGGACCCTCTGCGCGAGGGCACAGTTGTAATAAGTGTGCGTGTGTGTGATGTATGTCTTCCAACCCCACGTCTTTCTCCCTTTTATTTATCCGCTTATGATGGTTAGATTAGAGCATGTTTCAATTAGGATACAGTTATGAAGCATGGTTTGCATTCACTATCATCCGTTTGCATGCACGGGCTCGGTGCATCATACTAACTGCATTGTATTTCAATTCAATTGAATACATGTTAGCTTGTGCAATTTCATAATGCCATGTCCTGAGAAATGCTGAGCTCTATAGTTGCATTTTGCATGTGTTGCTTAGGCATTTCTATATAATTAGGATCATGCATGGATTTCTAATTAGCTTTTGTGTTTGGCTTGGAGTATCCGGTTAAAGTTTATTATGCTTTAGCATCCTTGCATGCGTGTGAGGGACTACCATGAATAGCATGCTTACCATGAAGGCTATATGCTATGTGGTATGTAACTGCCTGAATGCCTGTGGGTGAAGGTTTGGGTTTATTTGAATTGAACAATTCCATCAAATGTGTTTTAAGCCCACTAGATGGTGGCAAAATCATGTTTTCTAAACCCACCGAGGGTGCAAATCCAACGTCTTAGCTACTTGCCGAGAGCACCATCAACACCATTTCAAAACAAACAAATATGAAATGTTTTTGTTCCAATTCAGACGATCAGTCTATACTTGTATGTTGTGCGCATCACATAGCTAAATTAATAGGCTAATAACGGAATAAGAACACACACGTTTTCAAAATTTGATATCAATGGTTAGCTAGAAGGCGCGATCTTGATCGGCAAGCGGGGGTGCTCACGAATTGCCATTCCCCTCAATGTACCAGTTCTCGGAGCCGAGGCAACTTTTGGTGATGACGGACACTGGCCTTAGGTAAACGAGTCAAGGTTTCCTAAATTCCCAAAAATAAATATTTACGGTGGCGACTCTGTATCTGGCAAAAGCAGTCCATGTTTGGCACTGTCTTTTCAAAATCTATTTTCTCAAAAACGATTTCCGGATTTGACTCTTGGTTCAGATTTGAACCGGACAATTTGAGAGTCCTGAGCTTGTAACTGAAGCCCAATATCGATACGGAACGGGAGCTCGTCCCTCCCGGGGCCGTTTCGGGGAACGTCTACGTTTCTGGCGACTCTGCTGGGAAGGTTAGAGAACTGACTCGAACCCATGATATTTGGTGTTTGGACTACCACTTGTGTGGTTTCTCTTTTGCATTCATTTGCATTGGTGCGCCTAAGGACAACGTGTTTGCATTGCTATTCCTGAACGGTTTGCCGAGGCTTGCCTTTCAAAGCATGACCATAAGGCTGACCGGTTGTGGGCTCGCCAGTATGGAACACAAACCATCGGTTTTACCCGGGGCACCCCTTTTGACCATAAGTCGACTAATTGCATATTCGGATCCATAGTGACCATTCCAAACTAGGACAGGTTGCTTACCCGTTTATAGGTTGTTTGAAACCGCTGCGTGCGTAGTGAAACCCTAGCTCCTAACAAAATAGGACAGGGAAACCTTACCCCAACATAGGGGTGTTTTGGCTCTCACTTATCTGTTATGTGCTGTAAGAGTGCGTCTCTACAGGGAAAATGCATGTATCAGCTTATGAGTTTGGGGCATCAGGCCTGCGGGCATCAATCAGTATTTGAGAATCAGTTATCTGCAGGTATCAGAGATTCAGTTTTGGGGACAGTGATTCAGGGATAATAATCAGTGTTGGAGGATAGTGTGTATTCAGCTTGTCGACCGTGTGTTGTTATGCTCGGCTGTGTGTCATGCATTTACTTTAAGCTGTTATGCTGTCCGTTTATCTGTTTATTTCTTTCCTTATTGCTTTATTTATCTTTTTACTATGGCAGTTCTAGCACAATTGCTTCTAACCCAGTAGATATTCCCCAAGCACTTTGGACAAGAGGTCGCCGACTTAATCGATCCGAGGATCTGGTTGACGGACAGCCAGTGTTTCATTCTTTACCCCCAATTGTCAGAAGAAGGCCGAGAAGACGCAGTGTGTCTGAGCAGAGGTTACCAGAACAGTGGTCTACCCTAACAGTGAACAGTCGGGCTGAAGTTTTAGTTTCTGCCATAGAAATACACATACCCGTCAGTCAGCAGGATCAACAGAGTGTAGCCGGAATGGAGGAAATGATGCGCCAGCTCCAAGAGAGATGAAACAAATGCAGGAGGACGCCGCCCGCCAAGCAGAGTTCTCTAGACAACAGGCCACAGTCATGGCTCAGCAGGCCGAGCTAATCACTAGACTGCAACAGCAAAATGCAGCATCGGCCTCACATCAAGTTCCTCCTCCACCAGGGGTCCCGTTACCCGAGCAAGCACCTACTGTCCAGAATGCTCTGCCAAACACCCAGAACACCTTACCCAACATCCAAAACATCCAAGAGGACACGGACCTTCCAACGGGGCCAGCTCCGCCCCCGCTTCTGCCTCAACTGTCCAAAACCCATACACCCAACCACCCGGACTCTCCTTTCGAGTTCGAAATAGACCATACAACTCTGAAACTGAGCAAGCTCGAGAAGCTTTTCAAGAAATCACAAGGGGTAAAGGCTATTTCAGATATCGAGGATGGATATACCGATGTGGCCGTAACTTTGCCAGATAGATTCAAGATGTCGCAGGTTGATCGTTTCGATGGATCCGGAGATCCCATGGTCCACCTCCGGTTATTCTCAGATATACTGCGGCCAATGGGCCTAACCCGGCCACAAAAGCTTTCGCTGTTCGGCTGAACCCTGTCGGGTGTGGCCGCTATCTGGTACGCAAAGTTGGAAGATAAGGTAAAAAGAAGTTGGGATAAAATGACCGAGGCCTTTGTCGCACAGTACTCGTACAACACCCAGATCGAGATTATAACTCGTGATCTCGAAACGACAAGGCAGGAGCCCAAGGAGACTTTCTCAAATTTCGTAACTCGGTGGAGGGCGAAGGCATCAATGATGACTTTGAGGCCCACTGATAAGGACTAAATCCAGATGATTGTGCGCAATCTCCAACCAAAATTGATGCAGAAGATGATTGTACTCCCCTTTCCCACCTTTTCGGATCTGCACGAGATGGGGGTACAAATCGAGGATGCGATGAAGCAAGGTCTGATTGACCAGGACAGGGAGCAACCCCGGAGAACATTTAACCGCAACAATAACGCAGGCCCGAGTGGCGCTACAACCGCAAGAGCTTCGGAGGTCAGCATGGTCGCCACCATTCCCCCTCCCCTTCCAAGGCCCATGGTAGCCACACCCTTCTCCGGTGCATCCGGAAGTAATACCCAGACCACTAAATACCAGCCCAGAGGCCAAAGAACCTTCATCCCACTATACATGCCTTTGTCTAAGGCTCTGGGGGTCTTGATCAGAAAGGGGCATCTAAAACCCCTAGAGCCGAGGCCACTGCCGAATCCACTCCCTCCCTCTCACAACCCAGCCAAGTACTGTGCATATCACCAGCAGCATGGTCATGATACTGACCAATGTTTCAGGCTGCGTCACGAGATTCAAAACCTTATTGACAAAAATGTGATTTTGCCGCCAGAAAAACCCAACGTCACAACCAACCCCCTCCCTACACACAACCAAGCTCCACCTCCCAAAAGAGTCAATCTTATCCAGATTGGGGTTATGTCTTACGATCCTAGCATCTATATTACCCCCACCCATCTACCTAAGCCGGAGGTGCTCCTTCCCGACTGCATTGACTTCTTGTGCATGTTGGACATCTCCACAACCCAATCAGAGCCGATGGTCGCAACCATCAAAGATGGGGCAGGGCAGACTTCGAAAAAAAATAGGATTGTTGAGTCTGGGATTGAACAGAGTTTTGCTGGGGAAGTCTATGATCCAAGTGAGTACATCCTATCAACAAGCCAGATTGGACTGGGTGTAGAATTGCCAGAGAAGGAAGAGTTGTGTGTGATCCAGGGGGATGGATTTGAGCAAGGGACAAATGATCTGACAGCTGTGGAGGAGGACTTTGCCAACCTGCAATTTTTCGATGACCAAGAATTAGGGGACGCAGCAGTCAACTAGTTTGACTATGAGGAATCGGCAGAGGCCACTGGATGGCTGGATGATCAACTAGATATGGTGGAAGAATCCCAACCAGAACAGGGCCCGGCAAGGGCGAAAGTATCAACTGTGGCCGGAAGGGCCGGAAGTCAGGTTACATTGCCGGAAAGCGTCGGTACAAAGAATTTCGCTCAGGACAGAAGCATTGTGGATGCAGGGAAAGTTGAACAACAAACTGCACTGACGCAGGTAGAACAACAGGGTTCTGAGAGAACCGGGAAAGCCAAAATCCATGAGGGGATCGGAAGTGCTGCGGGCACAAGAACAGAGGATGCTGTGAGCATGACGGCTGAAAGTGCTGTGAGTACAAACATGTCCGAACCAGACAGGTGCCTTTTGAATGCCAACGGAATGTGGTGGGAAAACGATGACTTATGTCTTGCCCACACAGACGAAGACTGGGGAAGCAATCAACCGGACGACACTTGGTACCTCGATGAGGTTGATCACATGACAAGAAGCGGGCGGTACTTCAAGCCCCCGCACCTAGACCAACCCAAGGCATCTGGGAAGGATAAAGAAGCTGAGAAACAGAAAGAGAAGCAGATCGAAGAGGAAGCTGTACTGAAACAGCTGAAGAAGATACAAGCAGACATCTCCATCTGGGGACTGCTTATGGCCTCGCGAGTACATAGATAGGCTGTCTTATCTGCCATGGACAAGTCCAAACTCTCTATAGATACTACACCAAAACAGCTGGTTGGGCTGGTTTTTCCGGGAGGAGGTTCCCCGGCATTAACCTTTTTAGACAAAGAACTACCATATGAGGGCACAAATCACAACAAACCCCTCTACATTTCCGTGGAATGTAGAGATAAGTGGATACCGGTGGTACTTGTTGATACCGGGTCCGCCATCAATGTCTGCCCAGCCAGAACGGCGTATGCAATCGGATTGAAGACCGCAGACTTCGTGCCGACTACTCAGATGATCAGTGCATATGATAATACTAGCAGGGAAGTGATGGGGACTGTCAAAGTTCAGACCCAGGTTGGTCCCGGACAACACAACATTGAATTCCATGTCTTGGACGTTCCCGCAACCTTCAACCTACTTTTGGGGCGACCGTGGTTGCACCAGGTCAAGGCAGTCTCTTCCACTTTACATCAGATGTTGAAGTACCCTCACGGGAAGGGGGTGGCTATTGTCTTCGGGAATTCATCAATCCATCTGCCGCCAGAAGTGTCCACACCAGTCTTGGAAATCGAGCATGGCACTGAGGATGTGTTCTTATCAGGGTTCACTTTGGCTGAGGCTCGAGTGGTGCAGAATATTATGGCTGTGAATGAGGGGGTGTATGTCAGCGCTCAATCCGTCTACCTCATGAACAAGTTACAATACATCCCCAGGATGGGATTGGGAAGGAGCGGCCGGAAGGGCGTCGCCGTATTGGCCGAAGTGCCACACAACCCTCATACCTTTGGCTTGGGTTATCTGACCACCAAAGAGGACTGGGTGAGGAAGGGTAAAAAGATAGCTGGGAGAGCCAGAGCAAAGAAGGCGGGGAAGCCTTTTGAATTAATGCATCGGCCCATTCGGGGTACCCTAAACAGACGCTTCGTCCGGGAGGGGGAGTGATAGCTTCAGCAACTGTGCTATGCCCAAGTCCAAGAAGGTGTCCTATTTCATGCAACCCAACAGTGCCTATGTCGACAGCTCCCGGAACTGCACCAACCGCCCAATGCTCTGCATCAAAGTAAAGCTTCCCATTTGGTGGCATGTTCACGTGGGCTAGGACTCCTCCAGGGCCGTCAAACGAGCTATTATCTCCATGATCACGGTGTAGGAAACTGATCTGCAGGTCAGCATGTGTAAACTCTTTACCCTTTGAAAAATTGAAGTGTGAAACAGAAGCCCATTTGCTAAATGCTTGTGCAATACGGCCTTGAACATCGTGGGAAGTGCTGGGTTGAAGTGCCCAGGAGAGGTTGAACTTGGACTATTTGGTGTACCTTTACACATAATAAGAAGAAAGTTCATGGAGTTGGTGCGGGGTGCCACTGACTATATCCGGCATCCCACACCGAGGCGTTCCCATGAGTGACAGTGTATTAGTATCTATGGTTCCACTGACATTAAGATGGTAATTGAGTTGGTATGCTTTGACAGCAGACTCTAATGTATCATCAAAATAATTGGGATTTTTAGAGTAGGAATAACTTAGATAACCATACTTCTGAAGATAATTTCTGATTTCTTGGAGTCCTCTTACATTGTCACCCTTCTTAGAACCAGTGAATTGCTTCACAAACTGAAAAGATGATGAATTTGAAGGGGGCAAGAGAGGAATGAGGAGGAAGAGGAAGATGCATGACACTAGGTGAGAAACTTCGGGTTCCATGACTGAGTTTAAGAGTACTGCACTCATTCTTTCAATTGCTTATATGTTGTTTAGTTGTCCTTTTATAGATGCGCTAAAGTGAAGATTTTGAATGAAAAACGCATGCATAATCTTATTTTTCACTATGGAAAATGATAGAATAGCTCATTTTTAGGCTTAGGGTTGTTTGGGATAAACTAATGACGACAAAAAATTAAAAAATTATTAAAAAAGTTAAAAATTTTATACTATTTAAGGGTAGTTTGTGGGGAAGTCACTAGGACAAAATTATTATTTTGTCCTTTGAATTCAACTATCCAAAAAATCAAAAAGTCAAAAGGGTAAAATGATCATTTTAATTTAATTTTTATTGATGTTTTATTTATTTAATTTTTTAAAATAATTTTTTATTGATATTTTATTTTAAAATTTTATTTATATTTTATTTAATTTCATTATTTAAATTTTAATAGATGTTTTATTTAATTTCATTATTTAATTATTATTATTTTTTATATTTAATTTCATTATTTAAATTTTAATAGATGTTTTATTTAATTTCATTATTTAAATTTTAATAGATGTTTTATTTAATTTCATTATTTAAATTTTAATAGATGTTTTATTTAATTTCATTATTTAAATTTTAATAGATGTTTTATTTAATTTCATTATTTAAATTTAATACATGTTTTAATAGATGTTTTATTTAAA